TCTATGAGAACTGCCCCATCAGAGTTCTATTACCAGAAGTCCATCAGAGTTGCACCATGAGAGTTGCTGATAAACTTGGACATCTGATAGCCGATGAGAACTACAGGTCAGAGGTACTCATCAGCGGACCTATCAGAGTCAGAGTTAGAGTTCAGTCAGAGATCAGAAGACCTTCAGAACTCAACTCATCAGATAGCCATCAGAACCCAACACATCAGAAGAGCCTGATCAGAGCCCGACTAACACTTAGAAGATTTCAAGCAACATCCAACAGCTATGAATCCAACGGGTAAAACATCCAACGGCTAGAAAACTGTGCATGAAAGGAAAGCATTTAATGCACATTAAATGAGCCTGATACGCTGAAGGATTGATTGCAAATGATTGACCAAGGAATCCGGGAAGATATATTATAAAAATAGAAACCTTCCAAAACGGCGGTCAAGTCAACTGTACGCGCATTCAATGCAGTTGTCTCCTCCTCCAACGGGCAGACAACCTCAGTATATAAGCTACACACCGAAGAACAGAAAAACAACTTTTGCTACAACTTTTGGTCATCATAATTCAAGCTCTCTTGAGACTCAAATCCTACAATCTTCAACAAGACAAGCTTACGTTGGGAAGATTCAAACTCCAAATCTTTCATCCCCAACAACGAGCAAAGTTCTTCCTGTTCTTCAACTCTTCAAGAACCTCATCAAACATCATTTGTGACGAAGCAAGTTGGAGGAAAAACTCTGTTTTTCAAAGGATCTTCTGAAAAGAAGGGCGTCCAAGTAACTGCAGTAGTGAAGTGGTGATACTTCCGGGAAGCTGAGTGAAAGGACCAGCCATCAGGACGTGGAACTGCATCCTGGGTGGCAACTAGGCTTGAAGAAGGCGTGGAGAACTTCTTAAGCGCTAGGAACTAAGCTTTGTAACCGATCTACTTCAAAGCTAGTGGAACAGTGGACTAGAGGAACGCGTTGTTCCTTGAACCACTATAAAAATATCCGGTGTCATTTACTTTACTGCAATTTACATTTCTACACTTAGGATATTAACTGTTAACTCTAAGACTTGGAATCTGTGTTCAGCAGATCTTGTTTTCAGAGTTATCAGAAAGGCATTTGCCTTAGTGTTTCTGAGGCTACCCGGACAGATCAGAATCCGCTGCCAAGGCCAGTTCTGATATCAGAACCAGCCTTTCTCTGTCACCAGAATTAGACCTTCTCTGATAAGTCACTTTGGACTTAGAGAAAAGTTGAAAAATCAATCAGTCTATTCACCCCCCCCCCTCTAGACTGATTACCATATTAAACGGGACCAACACATGGTATTTAGATACCGGAGCTAGCAACCACATGACGGGAGATAAAAGCTTGTTCGTGAAGGTGGAACATACTCAAGGTCATGTTACCTTTGGAGATGAATCGAAAGTCGTGGTGAATGGTAAAGGTAACGTTCTAATCCGCCTAAACGATGGAAGTCATCAATTCATTTCCGATGTCTACTATGTGCCCAACTTAAAAACAAATATTCTAAGTATGGGACAACTCCTAGAAAAGGACTATGATATTCACTTAAAAGAATCGCAGTCTTTCTCTACGAGACAATAATGGGAGACTAGTTGCTAAAGTGCCGATGACTAGAAACCGGATGTTCTTGCTTGATATTCAAAGAGATCAAGCCATATGCTTGAAAAGTTGCTTGAAAGACGAGTCATGGATTTAGCACTTAAGATACGGGCACTTGAACTTTGGGGGCTTAAAAATGCTATCGTCCAAAGGCATGGTGAAAGGTTTGCCCTTCATCAATCATCCTGATCAGCTATGCGAAGGATGCCTACTTGGGAAGCAATCAAGGAAACCATTCCCTAAAGAAGTTACCTCAAGAGCTAAGGAGCCATTGGAGTTAATCCATACCGACTTATGCGGTCCTATTACTCCATGTTCTCATGGTAAAAGTAAGTACTTTCTCACTTTCATCGATGATTACTCAAGAAAAACATGGGTATATTTTCTGAAACAAAAATGAGAGGCCTTTGAAGCATTCAAGAAATTTAAGGCTCTTATTGAGAAAGAAAGTGGGTACGTTTAATCAATTTTGTGAAGATAATGGCATCGGTCGTCCCATGACTGTCCCACGCACACCACAACAAAATGGTGTAGCCGAAAGAATAGGACTATCCTCAACATGGCCCGAAGCATGCTAAAGACGAAGAATATGTCCAAAGAATTTTGGGCTGAAGCTGTGGATTGTGCCGTCTATCTTCAAAATCGCTGCCCCACGAAGAGTCTAAATGGAATAACTCCACAAGAAGCGTGGCATGGAGGTAAACCCGGAGTCTCTCACTTGAGAGTATTTGAATGCATTGCATATGCTCATGTTCCTGATCAGACTAGATCAAAACTCGATGACAAGAGCGAGAAGTTCATATTCATTGGATATGACAAACACTCAAAAGGGTACAAACTCTACAATCCGGATTTGAAGAAGCTTATAATAAGTCGTGATATGGAGTTTGATGAAGAAGGCTCATGGAATTGGAGCATTGGCGACAAAGAAGATTATAGCCTCTTACCATCCATGGAATATGAAGAAGAAGTTGAAGAGAATCATGAAAATATAACTCCTCCACCATCTCCCACTCAAGCTCAATCTTCACCACCAAGTTCGGATGAAAGAGAAGTACAGCGCATGTGAAGCATTGAAGAGCTTTACGAGGTAACACAAAACCTGAACTCAAATGATGAGCTTACACTCTTTTGTCTATTTGGTGATTGCGAGCCACTAAGATTTGAAGAAGCCACAAGAAACAAGAAGTGGAGAGATGCAATGGATGATGAGATTAAGTCCATTGTGAAGAACAAAACATGGGAGCTAGCCACACTTCCATCAAATCATAAAGCAATTGGAGTGAAGTGGGCATTTAAGATCAAGAAAAATGCAAAAGGGGAGGTTGAGAAGTATAAGGCAAGACTAGTAGCCAAAGGCTATGCCCAAAGACATGGCGTTGATTATGAAGAAGTTTTTTCGCCCATTGCTAGATTGGAAACAATAAGATTGATAATTGCACTCGCGGCTCACAGCAAGTGGAAGATACATCAAATGGATGTCAAGTCCGCATTCTTAAATGGGTTCATAGAAGAAGAAGTCTACATTGAGCAACCCGAAGGTTACAAAGTCAAAGGGCAAGAAGATAAAGTCTTGAGGCTAAGAAAGGCTCTTTATGGGCTTAAACAAGCACCAAGAGCTTGGAATAGTAGAATTGACCAGTACTTCCAAGCTAATGGATTCGTGAAGTGTCCACAAGAAAATGCACTATATGTAAAGAAAATCATCAAGGAGGCATATTGCTCGTGTTCATATACGTGGACGATCTCATCTTTACAGGTAATAATATGACGATGTTCGATGAGTTTAAACAAGTCATGACAAAGGAGTTCGAGATGACTGACATTGGGCTTATGAGTTACTATCTTGGCATCGACGTGAAGCAAATGGATGATGGTATATTCATCACTCAAGAAGGATACGCGAAAGAAGTAGTCAAGAAGTTCAACATGGAGGACTCCAAACCTGTAAGTACACCTGTTGAAAGTGGACTAAAGATATCGAGGTATGATAAAGAAAAATTGATTGATCCAACTTACTTTAAGAGTCTTGTGGGGAGCTTAAGATACTTAACATGTACAAGACCGCATATTCTCTTTGGTGTTGGACTTGTTAGTCGATTCATGGAAGCCCCTACAACAACTCATTTGAAGGCGGCAAAAAGGATTTTGCGATATCTCAAAGGCACCGCCAAATATGGGTTGTTTTACTCTTCATTTGATGAGTGTAAGCTGGTTGGATATTGCGATAGTGATTGAGGTGGAGATATAGATGACCGCAAGAGCACAACTGGGTTCGTGTTTTACCTAGGAAACACCGCTTTCACATGGGTTTCAAAGAAGCAATCGATAGTCACTCTGTCCACTTGTGAAGCCGAGTACGTTGCAGCAACATCAAGTGTTTGTCATGCAATTTGGCTCAGGTACATATTGCAAGCTCTCGGCATGTCTCAAGAAGAAGCAACAACAATATTCGTGGAAAACAAGTCAGCTATCGCATTAGCAAAGAATCCAGTGTTTCATGATCGAAGTAAGCACATAGACATTCGATATCATTTCATCCGGGGAAAGATAGCGAAGAAGGAAGTTCAAGTAGAGTATGTGAAGACTCAAGACCAAGTCGCTGATATTCTCACAAAGCCACTCAAGCATGATGTCTTTGCAAAGATGCGGGATCTACTTGGTGTTGCTAAGTCAAGTTTAAGAGGGGATGTTAGAAATTAAACTTGGCTTAGCCCAATAATTGGATCCATTACAACTCAACTTATTGGGCTAATAGTTGTATGAGAAATAATAAATTAGTCAGCCCATAAGTTAGAGTTAGTAAAGAAAGATCTAGAGTACTCTTTAGTTAATGTACTTATTAAATAATTCTAGAATAAATTAGTCAGCCCATAAGTTAGAGTTAGTAAAGAAAGATCTAGAGTACTCTTTAGCTAATGTACTTATTAAATAATTCTAGAATATTCTTAAGCTAGAATCCTATAGAACATTGTAAAATGCTTAGGACATGTATAGGAGTGCCTAGAAGGATCCTATGAGACCTATAAATAGAGCACTCCTCACTCATTTGTAACACAAGTCAAAAGCTCCAAATCAATTAAAGTTCCAAGTTCTCCCATAATCATCTCTCTCTAAAATCCTCTCTTCCATACACAATCACTCAAATATAATACTCATGAACTACTTTCTTCCAACAGAGAATTGACGACGAATTTTTTTTGAAAAATAAAATCGAAAAAGCTGTGATGTTTTTATTTAATTTTTTATAATAACGTTCATATACTTAGTTTTAATTGTTGGTTATGATATCGTTATTATAATAACAATGATAATAATTGTTGTTCGTGGGTTATATAAATGAATCTATTAAATATGTTGATTGAAATGAAATGGTTGCAGGGGAAAAATAGGAAAGTGACGGCGACATTCTCAGCAACAGATCTTAGGGCATGCCCCATATCGCTTCTGAAGAAGTGTCTAGAATGGAAGGTGGTGGATTTCTTGCGGATGGAGCTGAGGTCATCACTTGTAGCTGGCACAAGAGAGATGACACTAGCGGAGGCGGTGGAGAAGATAGTCTGCAACGGGGTTCACCGGATTTGGGTGGTTGATAATGACGGTTTGCTTCAAGGGGTTTTGTCTCTCACTGATATTCTTAAACTCATTCACCTCTCCCTACTCGGATCCTTTGCAACACCTACCAGCAAATAAATGTTTTACACCGTTTGTCTTTACAACTTAATGTAAACTGTATGACACTTTTTAAATAACATTTCACACTGTGTCATGTAAAATATTTCACGTGGGGGAAGGTGGTAAACTTGTTTACATCCGTTGATACCGCTACCAAATTACATATTCAACGTAGCCGACCTTCGATGATGCGAGTGTAACACCCCGCTCCCGCAGGATCCGAGGTAGTTACTCTAGACCTCTCTAGACTTCTAGCTAGTACTATTTCTCGTGCGCGCCCTGAGAAACTTCTCAGGGGGTCACCCATCCCAAGGCTACTCCTGTGCAAGCACACTTAACTTTGGAGTTCTTGGATGATGAACTCTCTTAAAAGGAAATGCATCTTGTTGATATGAGTAGTACTATTAATCTGTTTAAATTAAATCTCAAGTGTTACGGGGAGTGTCGCGGCAATAAATTAAGCTCGTTTTTCATCAAATCTCTTTGTCCATTTGTGTTGCAAGAGAAAAGCTTATGCACACTCATATATTCCAAGATTTGATATTTTGATTTAAATTTAATTATGAAATTTGATGATTAGTTCAATTTTGCAGCTAGATTGGCAGAATATACACACGTCGTTTAGTTTTTTTTAGAAACCTCCATTATTTTTAGTTGCAATATGTTGAATTTTACACTATTCACATGCTCTACTTTGACTACATTTTTAATTATTAATTTATTAGAATTATTTTTTTTAAAAAATATTGTTCAATTTTTCTCATTACAAATTTTTCAAAATATGTTTTTTTATATTTTTTACTAATCGAGAATAAGATATATTTATGGTCAAAGGCGTGTGTTGGAAAATGTGCAAAATTGACTGTTGCAACTAAAAAGAACGGAGGAAGTACAAAAACGGAAATCCTATTCTGATATATAAAGTGAGAAAACTTTGTTGATATGTGCACATGCGGTGATGATGGGTGCTTAGTTTTTATTTTTTTTTGTGATTGTTATATAATAAGTACTTGGTCTATATTATACATTGTAAAGAGTTTGTGTGTAATTTTAAAACATATTGCATTCATGGCCAAACGATGTATTTTTAGTTTACATGCAATGTAATTACAGCCCTACACTTTACGTGCAATCATTTTGCATGTAAAGTTTTAATGTGTAAACTACCAAACGGGCCCAAAATGTATTCCTTAATCGAGTTGTTCTCTTGTAATCCATCATTGTCAATATATTTAATTAAGGGAATTTTCAATTAAATACATAAATCGTACTTTCAACTCCTGAAATAGTCACCATATTGAAATGTCAGACCCGTGTTTTCGAGTTGTAAATGTCACCCCTCAATTGTCTAAATTGTTTTAAATGTGGTCCTTTGAGGGGTGAATTGTACAATGTGGGTGAGAAATACATTTTACCTCTCAAAGGATCACATTTACATCAATTTGGACAATTGCGGGGTGACATACTGACATACAGTCTCCGAAACACGGGTCTGTCATTTTAATATGGTGACTATTTCAGTACGATCCCGTGTTTGTACTACATGGTGAAATGTACTTCTATCTCCGAAACACGGGTCTGTCATTTCACGTCTCAAGTACTTCTATTACAAGTCTGGAAACTCCAGAACTCCCCCACTAAAGACGTTGCCTTGACATTTGTGATCCCCCGACTGTGGCCTGTGATTCCATTATTGATGTTACCCCTATTACTTCTGATGTCTGATAATTTTAACATCCCTGCAAGTATTGGTGTCCCCCTCACTTGTTTTGTCCCTGTGAAGGCTCCAACTTCAGTCTGTTAATTTGGCCATAGTCCTCGGTGATGCCCCTTTTGAGGTTTCTATGGTGCCTCTATTGCTCCAGCGGTCGGTAAAACTGATGCCCCGGTTTCAAGTATGGAAATGCAGAACTTACCCTCCATTAACCTCGCTATTGATGTTGGCTTTACAGTTCGTGCTTTGGACCATGATGAAAACACTGTTACCGCAAATGCTACCAAAGCAGTCCCCCTTTCTGCTGCCTTAGATCATGATGAACCCCCGATGGCTACCTGTCACATGGCAGTAACCGCAGGGCTGTTCATCCTTTGTTGATGGTTACCGATCAATATCGTGAACTTTATGCCAGTGATTTATATAAGGCCCCAGCAGGGCATGTGGATCCTCTTTTGGATCCCGATATTGCAGTTACTACAACTGATCTACCCAATGATGATACACTTTTTGAGGACAAAAAATGCTATTCTTTCTATTTCAGGGTCTTTAGTCAATTCTATTGATGAGGAACACCTCCAAGGCTTTAGGGAGGTAAAAAGAAGAAAAAGAAAAGATCTGAACTCAATCAAAACCCCAATTGAGGATACAGAAGATGTACAACTCTTCTTTGACGTTAGCTGGACCTCACTCCCGATGGTCACAAAAAGCCACTCAAAAAGACCCCAAAACGAGAAGTACTACTTCCTTTATCCGGTTGGCGAGAAGTTTGACTCGCCATAAAAACTAGCTGAAGCTCTCAAGTGCTTTAAATTATCTAAGCCGGATGCAAAAATATAGCAGCCCTATCTTCAGAGAGCAATCAAGTTTCACAACAAATTTAACAGATGTATGTTTGCTTCACTTGGAATTCCTTCAAAAATTTAATTGATGATGCAATTCATATTTACTGTTTTGCTTTGTTCGTTTCTATCGTACTTTCAACTTTAATTTAATTAATTTGGGAGGTGTTCACCGGCACCCCCACTCATGCGGTTGAACAAGGACGAAAAAAGTGCATTGATCATCATATTTTTTAACCCAGTGGCAGACCAAAAAGCCCAAAAGTTTTTTTTGATGAGGGATGGGGAATACCTCACTAGTTTATTAGAAAAAAGAAAATAATGTGATGGATCGTCGGACCAGGGGTGGCCGGAATCCACCGAGAATGAGAGTAGAAAGGAGAGCAAACTGATCGGAAAGTACAGATCGGAAAAGCCTTAGTTTATAAGTCTCAAGAGTGCAATGGATTAAGCATCCTTGTAAGGAATAAATGTAATTAGATTTTGATGATGCTAGGATAATTAGATTAGAATTTTAAAGTACCCCAATTAGATTTTATGTATTAGAATTTTCAGTTGTAAGTATTAGTGTAGTCGACGATCAGAATTGCTCTGTTATGGATCTGATCAGAGCTGCTCTATAAGAAGTGCTTTCAGAGTTGCTCTCGGGAAGATATGAGAGTTGCTCATCAGAGAATCATCAGAGTTCGATATTAAGCTTCATCAGAACTCAACTGCATCAGAACTGCTCAACATGAAAGCATCAGAGTTCTGATACCAGAGCTCGACTCCAAGCTTTATCAGAACCACTTATCAGAAAACCATCAGAATCCAACATATCAGAAGAGCCCGATCAGAGTCCGACTGACACTTAGAAGAATTTCAAAGCAACTTCCAACGGTTGTAAAACCAACGGCTAGAAGATTGTGCATGAAAGGAAAGCTCTTAAATGCACATTAAATGAGCCTGATACACCGTGGATTGATTGCAAATGATTGACCGGAAAATCTGGAAGATATATTTTAAATATAGAAAGCTTCCAAATTGGTGGGTCAAGTCAACAGTACGCGCATTCAATGCAATTGTCTCCTCCTCCAACGGGTAGACAACCCCAGTATATAAGCTACACGCTGAAGAACAGGAAGATAACTTTGCACACTTCAACATTCAAAAAGCTCTCTTGAGATTCAAACTCTCCAATCATCAACAAGACAAGCTTACGTTGGGAAGATTAAAATATCCAAATCCTCAAACCCCAACGCACAGCAAAGTTCATCCTATTCTTCAACCTTCAAGTACTTCAACTACATATCTTTTGTAACGAAGCAAGTTGGAGAAAACTCTGTTTTCAAAACAACTTCTGCAAAGAAGGGCGTCCAAGTAACTGCAGTAGTGAAGTGGTGATACTTCCGGGAAGCTGAGCGAAAGGACCAGTCATCAGGAAGCAGGACTGCATCCCGGGTGACAACTAGACTTGAAGAAGGCGTGGAGAACTTCTTAAGTGCTAGGGACTACGCTTTGTAACTGTTTACTTCAAAGCTAGTGGAACAGTGGACTAGAGGAACGAGTTGTTCCTTGAACCACTATAAAAACCCCGGTGTCATTTACTTTACTGCATTTACTTTCTGCACTTAGGATTCTAACTGTTTAACTCTAAGACTTGGAATCTGTGTTCAGCAGATCTTGCTTTCGGAGTTATCAGAAAGGCATTTGCCTTAGCATTTGTTTGAGACTACCCGGAACTTTTATCCGCTGCAAGACCAGTTCTGATCATCAGAACTCGACCCTCTCTGATAAGTCAACTCTGACTTAGAGAAAAGTTGAAAAATTTGAATCAGTCTATTCACCCCCCCCTCTAGACTGATTACCTAATCAAACGGGACCAACAATCCCTTTCCACAAGTTGAAAGGTGATCTTTATACCAAGGAAAAAGGAAAGACTTGGAGGCCAAGCCAAAGATGCTAGTCTAATGGGAGAGGGACACGTGTAAAGCTATTCTAACAAACTAACAGCCCAATTCAATGAGGAGTGGCCACGTGTAAAGCTGATTGGAGAGAGAACCTTTGATAGCTGGCTGATTGATTATTTTTCTAACAGAATTCCCGCCAGAAGTCCCGTGTGGCTGCACGTGGATAACCTGGAATATCCCTTCGGTGCAGAGAGTGACGTGGCGGTGTCTCCTTGCGAGATAAATCCTTGCGGATTCTATCTAAGTACATGACGCTTTATCCTGACCTTGGGGACTACTGAGGTCGATATCTGAGAGCTCGGGCTCGTGTTGAAAAGATCTGCCCTTTTGTCCATTGTTCCTGCCCTGGAGATAGTTAACTGCCTGGTGCTTTACCACCGTTGACCAAATGCTTGACTTTCGGAGTCAGACCTGGTACCAACCTCGGGTGCATCGAGGTCAGGCTCATAACTTGCCGAGTTTGGTTGATTTCTGAGCCTGACGTCCTCCCGACCTCGAGGTCGGGGTGGTTGACTTTGCTATCCACTGGGTTTGGTTGGTTCCTGAGCTTGGTGTTTTCCCGACCTCGGCGGTCGGGGTCGGTGTCAGTCTCGGATTGTGGACTTGGTATTTTTACGCCTTTGACGGAGCTTCGATGCTTTCTACCGGCGATTATGATACCCCTCGGGTGTATGGGAATATACTCCATCATAATGAATTACAAAGAGTAGGAGGACTAAACTAAAGCCTACTCAGAAAACGAATTATAGAACATAAGGATTACTAATAACGTCAAACTTAATGATACCAACAAATTGGTTAAAATGATGGGGGTTGGTTTTAATAGACAAGCTATGGTAAGCAAGGAATTCCGCTGCTTGATTAATTTTTGGATTGATGCAAGTGACAGTCCAAGTATTTTGATCAAGGATTTTTCTAATTTTTCTAATCTTCGGCCAAAGCTTCCATTGTTGAATTGATAGACCCGTTATGCCTTCATAGACATCTTTGTCGTCCAATTCAATGATTAGATTGG